ATTTATGTATTTATATATGTGTGTAGATGTGTATCTATGTACCAACGATTAACATACATGTAGGTATGTATTTGTGTTATCGTGGCTGCATGTTCTTGAATGTTGTTGTTGAAGTAGGCATGATCCGATCCGACACAACCTGCATTCCATTCAGTCCACATTCACGCACGTTCGTTCTGCTTTTTTGCGCTTGAAAGTTATTGATCAGCTGGCAATTATTCGCCGGAGGATAATGAAAATATGTGAATAGCATGATCAATGTTAGTCATCATAAAAACAACAACAACAACATCAGTAAAGACACCCCAACGATGACAGCATCAACACTAATCACAACAACACCAGACCACAGACGACGAAGCGTATGACTTAGGCCTATTTGACAATGCAACTCATTTCTCAACGGCCACTTCAAAAGTTTAGTGATAATAATAATAATAACAATTTTAGAACACGAAATGTTATTTATTTGACTATTTATGACCGTTAAAATTTTGCAAGCCACACAAACCAGAATTAGCATTCTATAGATATAAATATAAAAATTTCTCAACGTAAATAAAAATTTGCTGACCACATAGATATGGCAATTTTTTACCAAGCTTCAATATCGCCCATATCCACTCATCACTCTTTTTTCCCACAAATTATATTTATATCCAATAAACGCATACCTTCTTGTAGTTATGACGCAATTCGTGACGTAACGTGTGACGTAATACGGGAGATAATGAAAGTAAATGACTCTTTTGATATGGTTTGGTCTGTAGACGCAACTTTCTCCCGTCGCAATTTATTTATGACCGAAAATTAGTCGTTCATTAAAAACTTTTGTGTTGATATATAGTGGGCGCTTGTGAATTTATCTTTGCAAAAAAATTTAATTTAAATGTACAGACACAAACATAAACGAAAAAATAAATATTTAAAGACAGGTTAATTAAAGTGTTTGACTCCAAGACATTTTAGAAGAGGCACTTTGATGTTCGATAAAAATAGCAATCAAAATACATGAATTCGATTGAAATGAAACAAACTTGTGTTAAGTTTCGTAGATTGGTAATTGTTTACGCTTAAAGAAATATTATATTTAACAAAATTTATGAATGATATGATATTTATAAAAAAATGATATGCTTAATATGGCTGGCCTCCTTGTTTACAGGCAAAATCTTTTACTTATTTATGTACGTGCTGCTATAACTTTGCGTCGATGTATTTGATACGTAGACTGTACATAAAATTCATTTGAGTTTCTTTAACTAAGCTAATAATGTTGTGATCCACACAAATTTTTGTAAAGCGAACAGCACATCTCTACAAAAGTTAAACTTTTTTCTGAGATCCTGTTAATTTTATACAAGACTCTCACATCGATTTTGTTTTTCTCTTTTGTATATTCACGTCAACAAATCAAACATGCGGAAATTGTGCTAACATTTTTATTAAAAAATTTACCTTTAAATAAATATTTAAAAAGATGTCTTCTAAAATTTCAAAAATTTTTTCTGGTTTCCGTAAAAAACAAACCCCAAGCAACTCGTCGTCGTCATTGCAGCATAATCAGTCGGGAGGGAGCGCAGACGATTCTCCGACGATGTCCATATCTATGCCAACGAACGTCAAACATGAGTGGCATGTGGGCTTCAATCAATCCACTGGCCAGATTCAGGGACTTCCTCCAGTCTGGGAGGCCTGGCTCAAGCAATCAGACATCAGGTAGGTAAGCGTAGAAAAGAGGTTATCATCCATCGTCACTTTATAATCATTTTAGATACTCAATACTTGTCATGTGATTATTTATTTATATTTAATTTAATGGTTAATTTTTTTTTTAAGTTTAAATGAACAACAACAGAACCCTGGAGCTGTCATTGATGCTTTAAAAACATACGATAAAGCTCTCCGGCATTTATATGATCAGAAATATATCTGTGACACTCGATCAGTAGAAGATTTAATATTAATGAGTAATAGCAAAAAGAAGCATGAGCCAGCTGATAAAAATAAATTGAGTGCAGTATGCAACGAAAAAGAAAAACTGAGAACAGAAGAGAAGGTTATGACAGAATCAAGCAGTGAAGATTTAAATGAGAGTAGCAAGGAGGAAAGTTCGTTGAAGAAGAAAAAAAAGAAACTTTCTCCTTCTCATGATGATGACATCAACACCAACAAGACAAAAATAAGTGACGAGGAAGATGATGATGATGTGCCCCCTGCATTGCCTGACAAATTAGGCAAAATTAAGGTTGGCATGTAAAACATGATCAAACATAAAAATATATCTATAATTGAAAGATATAGACATGTATCATTATAAAATAAAAACAAATTGTAAAACAACTGCATACAAAAACAAAAATTTGTCTTACAAATGAATTGTGTAAATCTCTGTAATCCTAAAACCAGATTGATGATGATATGAGTTCGAACGTGAGCAAGAGACCGACACTGAGAAAACGTTCTGTCTCAGGAAAGTTGTCAGATGATGAAGTTATCACAATTCTCAGTCAGTTTTTTCATTGCTTGTTTTACTTCCTTCCAATTCTTAATCTATTTTGTATTTCAAGATTTAGTCATTGTTCAAAATTGGTAATCACTTATTAACTTTACTATCACTATAAATATTGATCTATTAATTTTTAAGGGTCTCTGGTAACTGCAGGTGATCCCATGTCAAAGTACATCACTAAGCAAAAAGTTGGATCAGGGTTGGTGCAACTTATCATTTGTGTTGTAAAAACTTTGAAAAACACCATTGACAGCTATTGAAATAGGGCAATATAAATTACAAAGATTTAATGATTGGTTGATAGTTATTATTACTTTTGCATCATCATCATCAGAGCATCGGGAACAGTGATTGAAGCGATGGACACCACAACAGGAAAGTCAGTTGCTATCAAAAAGATGGACTTGGACAATCAGCCAAAAAAAGAACTCATCATCACTGAAATAGAGGTCATCCTGCTTTTTGTTTTAGCTGTGACTTCTCTGCTCCTTCTGAGAATGTTGTGCTCGCTAGGAAGAGAAAATGTTTTTTTTTACACGGAGAGAGGGACATGCTACTGAGCAATAAATATGAATGGATATTAGTTTAATGCTTTAATGTATAATGCATAGCTTACATTGCAGGATTAACCTTTTTAGATGAGTGATTTAATTTCTTTTCATTATCAATTTTGATAAAGGTTATGAAATCTCGACATCAAGAAAACATAGTGAACTACATAGAAAGTTACTTAGTGAACAAGGAGCTGTGGGTGGTCATGGAGTATTTAGATGGAGGCGCACTAACAGATGTCGTTACTGAAACGGTTCTCTCTGAAGCTCAGATTGCCGGCATTTGCAAGCGTTGTTTAAGAGCTCTATCTTTTCTTCATAAACATGATATCATACACAGGTTTCTTAACATTTTTATACCAGCTTTTGAATGAACAAATAAAGTTGCATGCTGTTGAATGTAGTTGTTGGCTGATGTTGTTGAATCTTCAATTGCAGAGACATAAAAAGTGACAATGTTCTGCTCGGCATGAATGGAGAAGTGAAGTTGACCGATTTTGGTTTTTGTGCTCAAGTAACTCCTGAGAAGGACAAGCGGAACACGATGGTAGGAACGCCATATTGGATGGCCCCAGAGGTTGTCTCAAGGTCGTTTAGATACTTTCTTTCTATTTTTATTTTTTTCATCTTCTCTCATCTTTTTTTTTCAAGTCTTTCTTTTATAACTTTATTTCCACATCTTTCACTTCCATTATTTTAACATTTTAATTTCTTTGTTTTGTATATTCTAATATGTTCTAAAAATAAAATAAAGGATAGTTTTTATAATCATTGTTGACAAGCAGAAAGCAGTATAGTTACAAAGTGGACATCTGGAGCTTGGGAATCATGATAATTGAAATGTTGGATGGCGAGCCTCCGTACCTCAATGAAACTCCATTGAAAGCCCTCTTCCTCATCGCTGCAAATGGCAAACCTCAGCTGAAAGAAGTCGACAATGTTTCTCAGATGTTGAAAGAATTTTTAGATCTTTGTTTGGAGGTTGACGTCGACAAGCGAGCTTCGGCCGATCAATTATTGGATCACCCCTTTCTCGAACTCGACGATGGCTTAGTCACGCTGAAACAAAACATCATAGCTGCCAGGGGAGTCTTGAAGAATCAGCATCAACAATCATAACTACAGCAACTATCACAACCTTTTACTGCTTTCACTACCGCCTCTAACTTCTTAATTATTTATTTATGTACTTATTTTTGTTTTTGTTAATAATTACTACCAATCCATCATTTTACTTTATGGCCGACAGATTTGTTGTTGGGCTTCTAATGTAGGTGAAGTGGCAACTGATCATTTGAGTGATTCATTTTTCTTTACACCTAAACAATTCTTTTCTATTAAATTGTAGTGTGTTTTTTAGTTTACCTATTTATATATTATATTGTTAATATGTTTTTAAAATTTAATTCTAATGAACATTCCTATAAATACTCTTTGGCTTGTAGCTATGCCTTTAAACAGACTTTCTATGGTTAACAATTTATTTCTTTATTTATTTTTTCATCAAATATTTCCATTTTTAAATTTCATTCTCAACTATTTTTATAAAAGTCCACGCTATAATAGCCTCGGTATGCACGCCTAATTTTCCTACACTTATTTGTGCAAACGCGTTTGTGTGAAACAGATTATTACTTCATCTTTTTCATAATTCATTTACAACTTTAAATTCTAGTTTGTTCGTATTTTATTCATTTTTCAATTTGCCTTCTGTTACAAAATCATCTTTGTCATTACTATTTCTTGTAATTAAGAAATTTTATTTAATTATTATCACAATCACTGTTAGTATTAAGAAACAACTACAATAATGATTTTTAGTTCTATCCATTAAGCGAGATGATCTTATGTAATTTACTTTTAATGTTTAGCCATTTGTCAGATGATCACCTACACACTCACCCACCGTGCAAGACATGTGCACAATTAAACTCGTTATCATTACCACATAGCCATTCTTCTTATTACTATTCATCATTATTATTACTTTTTATTATTGTAATAATTCTTATTGACTCGGAAATATTCGTGTTTTGACTTAAATTTGTCGGTTGCAGTTGGCATAATTTTTAATGAGTGGCCCGCCACGTTTGTTTAATCCTTCTTTTTATGACTACGAAGCATTATGAACGCCGTGATTATAATTGTGCATGGTTTCTTATGCAGCACCTAATATCATCATCATAGTCGGTCGGTTGTTAATGGGCATAATTAAGCTGAGAATTATGTACGGATTAGCTGCTATTAACAACAGATTGAATGTGTGAGGGCATGAATTCTACTTGCCTTATTATCCTTTATTCACTGTTGGTTTTCCCGTGATGTTTATAATTTCAATGTAAACTTTTATCATCAGTATTATTTCGTAAAATATTATTCTGCGTGTAATGTAATTATTATTGTGTATACTGCGTAGGTAGTAGGTGCAAATGCAACCGTCAACATTCTATTACCGCTTCTTCACTTATTTATTCAGTTATTGAATTGTATGGATGCTTTTACGTTATTTCTGCAATTCCTATGTTGTAATTGTGACAATTTGCATTGTAAATTCATCAAATTGTATTTATTTTATAATTGTTATTTATTTTATAATGATGAATTGTTCAATCATTTATATATTCACACATTTGATGAGGCATCGCATTGGTAACGATTATTGCTCGAATGGGTAAAACGTAAAAATTTTCAATTTATCGTTTTGATATCTTGTGCGGGGTTCTTTAGACTATAATTTTTTAATAAATTTGTGAGTACGTTGATTTGAAAATGTTAGTCCATAGAATCTACTCCTTACTTCATTTGGAGCATTTTAAATGAGTTTTGGTGAACTCGGCTCGCCAATGCATCAACTTGGAGTGTATGCATTCATTAATACACGTTACAATGTAACACTGAGGATATGCTGCTGCCGAAGTTCAGTAGTTGTTCGTCTACTAATCCGACGACGTTATTCAGGTTCAACGTTATTTTTTCTGAATTTTGGTTAACTTTTTATCACTATATTTTATTAACTTTAATAAGTATCCACGTAAGTCATTTTAATTTATAGAAATATTGACAGACAGATAGATAGATTGATTGTTTGCTTATCGAAATAACGAATGTATAAACAATAGGTTGAACTACGGTGTTCATGAACTGAACTGAACTTTATAAAAATATTCATATTTTTATAAATCACAAAAGTACACAAACAGAAATTAAATTGAATGTCATCATCAAAAGTGGATAGAGGTAAACAAATGAATAAATAAACAAATAAATGACTTGAGAATTCAAAAAAGATAACTGAAAATGAAAAGTAATTATAATGACCAGATTTATGTGAACTCGTGTAAATGTTTGCCTTTTACATATCCGCATCTAACAAATGAAAATTTGAAGATAATGATGATGTGAAGATGATGATGGTATTGCAATAGGATTATCAAAATGATGATTATGAACCAACTTGAAAACTATTACAATTTTTTTTGCATTTGTTAAGTTTAACAAAAATTCTGAATGGAAAAAAAGGAAGAAATGCAACAAAAGTGAATGACTGTAGCAGACCTAGGAAAAGACATGCATGCAAATCTAAGTATACAATAAATGAACAAGTAACATATTATGATAATACGTGCAATACAAAACAAAAAGGAATTTTGTTCCCGCAGATCATGAACATGATTTCAAAATGGATGAAATTATAACAGAGTTAATAAAAATATGTGAGTGTATATGCTGATGCATAAGATTTAATATGCATTTATTAGTGTGTATGGAACTGCTCTTGATAGCAGTATGATGACGATCCGTTGTGAATACCTGGTTGATTTCACAAATAAACGAACTGATTGATTTATTAATCAGCATCATATATATAAATGTGTGTTGATAAAATAACATTGAATAACGAAAAAAGAAAGTGACTGAATAGAAAATTTGTAAGAAAACTAATAACCAACATAAATGGATGACAAAAACTTCACGATTGTGACGTGACTTCTATAAATACTTTCTCAATTGAAGACTCGGAAATATTTTTGTATAATAAATTGAATGTACTGAGACTAGTCACATGCAAAATTGAATGTATGAAAATAAATATTTATATATATATATATATATATATATTTTTCACATTCATTTTGTGGAGATATTTTCAGAAATGAAAATAGAGACAAATATTCTTCCACACTAAACTGAACACATGATAACATAAAAAATGTGCTTTAACATGAAATTAAATTATCATATAAACAACGTGTAGAAATATTCCCCACTAAAATCAGAAGAAGATCCATTTAATAGCATCAAGCAGGATATCAACATTACAATTGTTTAAAAATTCAGCCCTCCTTACACATTCACACCTTAATTTTAAACATTCAAAATCATCATTAAAACTTTTAGGCTGAGTGTCATTGAATTGCATAAGTTCTGTCAGGACCTGCCCCCGGCTGACACTTAACCACCCACCCAAAATCTCATGTCGATTAGGTTCAATGGCTGCCACCTTCAAATCTTCATCTGATTCCGGACCCCAAAAACATAATTCTAAGGAATTTCTTAATTTCATAACATCTGTCCATACTTTTAAATCGTTAGTATGAATGACGCGTTCTATCTTTTTCATAAACCTTTGGCATTTCAATTCAACTAGGGCCTGTGCTGTGATCATATCAGAAGAAGAGGAGGAGAGACCAGTTGAGTTTATATTTTTGATGTTAGTACTGCTGCTGTCAACGTCAGTGTTGTTGTTGTTGCTAGTAGTGTTGGTATGGCTGGAAGAGAGTTGTGATTTATGGAATGGTTGTTGTTTTTTATCTAGGCAAACCACTGTGGGTGGTGTTGTTGGTTTCTTGCAGGAGGCAACTAATTCTATCAGACTTTTGATCAGCTTGATTAGATCATCTATAATTTGTTTCTCAGCTACTGATCTGTTCTTCACAATCTCTGCATTCTTCCCACTATCAACACCATCTCTAGCCATCCTGATCTGATGAGATGAAAATACAACATCTGTCAATTTGTTGTTTATTGGATGCATCGACAGAGGAAGAGCTAATATCACATCTTCCATTCTAAGACTAGTTTTGGAATCTTTATTTTCAACCAAATCATCCAACAATCCCAACATTGTCATGGCAAGCCACCTCCATGGAGAAGATGATGATGAAGATGCTGCAGCAGCTGATAATGAATGTTTGCTTGATGGCAACATGTAACACAACTTATCAGTGATTGGTGTCGATATCTCTTTCTTTGAACATGAGATGACAGTGGACAGTTGAAATATTTTGCTGTAGGGCAGAATGTGGAGAGTGATGTTGGATTGATCAGTAGGATTCGATGGTGTAAAGTGATCCCAGCATGTTTTGACGGTGGTGGTTGTTGTGCGTGATGGTGCTGTGAGGTGGAAACTATGAAGAGGTTCAACATTTTTTAGTTGGTGGTTGACAACAAAAGTCTGGCTGTTTCTGCTGTTTGACTGGGTAAGTGTTTGCTGAGGTCCATCGACCTGAAGTTTATTACCAAGATTTCATATCATCATTAGAATATAATAATTAATACAAAATTATAAATAACAGTAACAATAATAATAAACAATGCCAATGGTTATATGAAGCAATCCAATTTCACCTACCATGATGACAATTGAGTTGGTGTGTTGTTGGAGAGCCTCAACATCTGAAACATCCATCTCATAGAATAATGCACTACCCTGCTTTACTGTTGGTTCACTTTTACTCTCCAATTTCTTAATTATGACCATTTCCATTGTCTTATATTCCTCAATAGCGATGGTTATATGTCGGTTGCCATGGTTACCGGTTGTTGTCATGGAGGTGCTTAAATAATTTTGTAGAGATCTGTGTGTGAATCTAGAAAGCTCTCTAAACCGATTCTGTAATTTATTAATTTATAATCTTTTAAGTTTGCTTATTTTCATAATTTATAAATATTTATTTATTTCCATCTATTTTAAAAGAGCATCATTCCAGCATCAAACAGACCTCAACTGAGTCTTCCAGTTTAATGCTGTTCAACATGCTTGCTTTCCAGCTCAAGCCTTTCACGTTCCCATCATTAACATCATCGCCATCATCATGATCTGCAATACTGCTTTTTATCATAATCATACTTGCATCTAATTTATCTTTGGTTCTTGATTTTCTGGTTGCCATAGTAACCGACCTGATGGCTGCTCTGGGGGCAGGTTTGGGAAGTTGAACGACAGGTACTTCTAGTTGGGATTGTTTCAAATGAGGAGATTGATGATAATAATGGCCAATACAATAATGAAAATGGAATGTAAGAAAATGAATGAATACTTTGAATAGGAGGTGCCTGTGGCAAAACTTCATACAAGTTACATTCACCTCCATCAGATGAAGTGCTATGAGCTGGCGATTGCAGAAAAGATGATGTTGTAGCTGCTGTTGTTGCAGTTGCATTATGTACTGGTAAGTCAGGCAAAGCACGTTGCTGCAGTGTGTTGTTGTAGATTTCTGTTGTTGTTGATGATGGAAATGTTGTTGATGATGTTGTTACAGCTGAATGAGTTGATGATGTTGTTAGTCTGCCAGTTGTCATGCTTACAATTTTCAAATTCTAAATTTTTTTTATAAATAAAAACGATTAGTTAATTAAATTATTAAAAAAATTCAATGAAATGTATGAAAATCATTTAAACTAAGGTGAAAAAGGAGAAAAACGAAAAAAATAATTACTTTATCAGAATGCTTTGACAAGAGATTTGGTAAAGTGTTTGATGCATTGTCAGTCTTTGTTCCCCCTCCTCCAAAACCATCTCTCTTCAAAATTTCATCTAAATCAGCCATAAATCCATCGATGAGAGATGTTTTATTGGTCAGAGCTGGGGATTTGAAAACATCATCTGTTGGTGATTGACTGGATACTGGCCCAATAGTCTCACTTGATTTTAATACTGATGGTTTATTGGTTGTTAAATTAATATTTGATTGAATGGGAGAAACTGATGCACCAGGATTGGTCGATAGAGGTGGAGGGGGAGGAGCTACCAGCATTTTGCGGGCTAATTTTGCTGTTACAATAAATAAAATTTGAATCATTTTTTTATGAATTGTAATAGATGGCAAGAAATGTAAATACTGAATAAATAAATAAATGAATTAAAATAAATTAATTAATAAACAAAATGAATGGAAAAAATGATTGATTAATTGGATGAAATCATGAGATTGAAATGATTTGAAAATAAACCTTCAGCTGTAGTCATAGATTTCCTACTTGAAGTGAGTTTTAACGTAGAACTTCCTCCGCCAATTATTGTACTTGATCTGATGTTTGATGCTGGCTCATTTGTTTGGCAAACAATTGAGGTTCCCATCATCTGATTAAGTTAACAAAAGACATTAAATGAATCAGTTTAAAAAAATATAAACATTAACATCACAACAACATTTTTGCTTGAAGAAGTTTTTAACTTATCAAAGTCCCCAAGGCCATCTGCATCATTGTTCAGATTATCACAACTGGCTCTACAATCTAGCTGTTCACATGATGATGATTGCACTGTCATCTTATTTGATGATTGCTTCCTGACCAGTGTCTCTATTTTTTCTTCAACTTCCTTCACAAAATCTTCACTAATTTGAGACTTTCTACTCACCACATCCACCTCTGGGGAATTCTCATATAAGGAACTTTTCATGTTTGAGCACACAGCCAAGGAAGTGCATTTGAGTGATTGGTTGTCAACCAGAGTTGAAGTTGTTAGGAGGTCAAGAGATTTTTTTGATACGATGTCACAGTTGTTAAGATTTGTTTCATCTGCTAAAACATCATTTAAAGAAGAATTTTTCTTCAAAACTTTTTCAGATTTTGATGTTTTGTTATCATCAATTTCTTTGTTTCCTCTACCAAGTAATTTTTGAAAGAATGATCTTTTTGGTGCATCTTGTTTTTTTTTAACATTTTTATTTCTATCAACCCCACTAGCATTAAGATCATTTTGAGCAGTGAGTGAATCAACAATTTCACCATTTGAAGCCTCATCTTTTTCTTCCTCTTTATCATGAAGTTTTTGATTTTGTAAAGTGGCAACTTTTTCCAGAAATTCATCATCAATTTCTTCATATAATCTTGGTTTATAATGCTCAGGAGAAAAGAAATTGCTTTCTTTAATGTTCTCATCAACATGAACAGCAGTAGAATTTTTTCTGTTCATTTTCTGTTCACCATCAACACTGACTGAAGGTTTGTCCATCAGTTTGTTTCTATCCACAACATCAGCAAGAATTTGTTTGGAATCTTTTCGACCAATTGTCATGCACTTCCTCTTGTAGTCAGGTGCTGGAGTGGTAGGCAGGCTGGGTGGCAGGTTGGTTGGCAGATTCTGTTTGGCCTTCGCTAACTGGCGATTTTTTTCGAGCGTTGAAGTGATAACATCAACAACTGTGTAAGGAGTTGCCATGGGACAGTAACTATCTACTAAATTGTCATCAGAATTTTTGTCACAATGAGATTCATCATCTGTGGAATTTAAATCAACTGGCTTGCCTGATGCACCTTTTGCAGTTATGTCATAAACCTGGTAATAATGACTGGTATCTTTTTTGATACTTTTTGAGGCATTTTCTAATTTGATATTTTTCTGTTGGCTATTGTGCAATAAATAACATGGTTTCACTGGTTTGTCAGGTTTTTGAATCGGGTTATTAATGAATTTTGATTTAGCATCTTCCTTGGAATTTAACTGAAATTTATTATTATTGTTGTTACTGGCACTGCTGCAAACCTCAGCTTCAACAATGAAATCATTCATCTTGTGGACAGCTTTTGGTTTAGAGCAATTAGCGCAGAAATCTTGCTTCCATGCATGCTGTGTGAACTGGGGACAGGTTCCAATTGTGGGACTTGACATTTTAGATCTAAATTTTAAATGAAAAATTTTTGACATGCTTATAAAAATATAAATAATAATTATATATTATATTTTTGCATAGCTTATTTATGTTTCTTTTTATATTTAATTTTTAATATTATAACAAAAATAAAAATGCCAAAATAGTTATAGCTATATGAAAATATGCCATTTTATAATTTATTTTAATTAAAAAGAAATTTATTATTTATTTGATTTTTGAATTTTTACAGGAATTACTTACAAATAGTAAAAATTTACAAAATAAAATGAACAAAACAAATGCATAAATTAATTTGTTGGTTCAGTTAGTTATTTAATCAGTGAGTGCAAAAAGAACATTTAAAATTAATTAATAAATCAATTAGCTAACTAAATTATACTAAGTTATTCATTCCTCAGTCCATCTGGCGAGGAGAATGATGGCGGTGGAGGCTGGACAAGAGATGCCTGCAACACGAGATTCATAATAATATTTTTAGATTTCCAAATATTGATGGAGTGCCGAAATAGATTTGAAGTTCAAGTTTATAAGTGTCTTATAAATAATTATATGATTAATTATTAATCAATTATCAGATGTCTGCTCTTTAATGATTTAAAACATTCAGAAATTGTCAGATTTTGTTTGAAGCAGCAGATGGTTTTTAAGTATTTAGGGCAAAAATTGGTTACTGACCCATCAATATAAAAAAAAAACAAAGTGTAAAAAATTTAAGTTGCATGCAACGCTAAGGGTAAGAATCTTTCCTTTATCTTTTTTTATTCATCAATGCGGCACCAGTTTTTGGGAAGACTTAATGGACAAAGTACGAAAGGGCAAAATTCATCATCCTACAGTTGCCAAATAGTCATTCTTTTTACATTTTATTTATTAATTTGCCATTATTTTTTTTAATTCCCCCTCCCTTACGAAATCGTTGTAGAAAAGGACGTCATGTTAACAGTAGTTATTTTACTGCATTTTAGTTAATCAGCCGGTATAAATAAAGGTTGCATTAAATTCATATCAAATATTTTATTTTTCATGTTTTATCATTTCTCTTCCTCACTTTTTGTATTTATTTTCTCACTTATTTGTTTAATTTTGTTTCACTGCCTTGCATGTTGTTACAGTTTCTGCGTCTGTCAGATCCTGATTTTTAAATAATAAAAAAAAAAAAATGACCAAGTGTCATACGCAAATAATGAAATATATATATATATATACGTTGATATAAATTTTTTTATTAGTCTTTATTATTGCAGCTCTGACATACGCAGAACCACTTACAATGTTACAGTTGTGTTATGGTGTAGTCTCAAATTATTTTGAATTCTCTCAGAGAAATTTAAACATTTTACTATATGCTAGTTACTTTTATCAACCATTTAAAAAAAATTCATTTTCATCGCGATATCGATAATGATTTTTGTGACCTGACTGATTAAAAAGCATCAAAGAAAATTTTAAAATAGGATGGAGAATTTGTTATATTGAGATATTCGTATATAAAGCGAGCAAAATTTTAATATAAAAGCGCTTATAAATCTACGCATATTGGCACAGCTTGGCTCGGCTCGGCTCGGCTCGGCTTGGATGTTAAGCCAGGTGTTTGTCTCAAACTATTTTGAAGTCTCCCCTAAAAATTTGAACTGCGTGCGTATATATGTAGCACTGATTACTCTTGCTTTTTCAATGAATTTATATAATAGGCCCTATATATATTAGGCGAGCAAAATTTTAATATAAAAGCGCTTATAAATCTACGCATATTGGCTTAGCTTGGCTTGGCTTTGCTCGGCTTGGAATCGGATGTTAAGCAAGGTGTGGTCTCAAACTATTTTGAAGTCTCCCCTAAAAATTTGAACAGCGTGCGTACATATGTAGCACTGATTACTGTTGCTTTTACAATGAATTTAGATAAAATATATATATATATATATATATATATATATATAAAGCGAGCAAAATTTTAATATAAAAGCGCTTATAAATCTGCGCATATTGGCACAGCTTGACTTGGCTTGGCTTGTCTCGGCTTGGAATCGGATGTTAAGCAAGGTGTGGTCTCAAACTATTTTGAATTCTCTCCGAAAAATTTTGGTTAAGACTGTATAATAGTGTAGTACATACATTAAATAAGTTTTTTACTGATGTGAATGATTGAAATGATGAAAATGTATGGTTAAAACGAGTATAAATAGAAGCTTAGAAAGTGTTGAAATCAGATCAGGCATTTCTGCTTCGCTCGAGTCGGAGTGCCTGATCTCATTTTTTTATATTTAAATTTTTTTAATTTATTTATTTTTATTTAATTTTATTTTATATAGAGCTATATAGAGTTATATAGAGTTAGCATGTCTGTGGTTTGTGTGTTTGTATGTTGTATTTTTTTATATTTTAGGTGGGTTCTTTAGTGGTTGCTCATACATACATACATACATACATACATACATACATACATCATGTTTGTTTGTGTGGTAGTATTTTATGTTCTTTTTTACTCTTTTTTCTCTTTCTTCATGAGTCTTGAGTTAAGTTAATGAAACATAGGTAGGTGAGATTAAAAATTAATTTATTATATAGGTAGGCTAGGGCATAAGGTAATTTAGTTACATAGGTAGGTTAGGGACTATTCTTTTACTCTACTTGGTGGTGTATTTTTTGTTATGTGTTTTTTTTT